CAGAAAGGAAGGACATTAACACAAACACAGGAGATAATATTTTAGTAAATACGAGAGACTGAATTTTAGTTTTTTATCAATACCATAAATAAGACCTCCGAGTATTAACAATGTCAGTTTAAATGAGTTGCTTCAGGGGGTAAAATATGATCAGTTATATGCTAAGTAATGTGGTCCAGTTTGTGAATTTTAAATCAATTCATACATTTTACAGAAAAGTATGAATATATAAAAAACATACCATAATAGAGCATCAGTTTGTCTCTCAGTTACTGATGTTTGCCCTGTGTATGTACATTTAAATAACCATTTAATCCAGTTAAAGAGGTTTTTGTGAGCTAATGTTATACTAAATCATCAGTTAATATAACCAACAGTGGACTGGTACATACTCTTTATTACTATGTGTAAAAATGGTGTAAGAGGGAGTGAGAGTTAATCAGCTTGGTAATTTTCATACTGTCCCTGCAGGTGTGTCCACACTGAACACTGTGACTGTACAGAGAGGAGGATCTGTCACCATCCTATGTCCCTATGACAACATATATCAACAACATGTGAAATACTGGTGCAAAGGGAATGACTGGCGTTCATGTACTCCTATAGTACGCACTGACTCTCCACACAAGGGCAAAGTGTCAGTCAGAGATGATCCTGACCAGCAAGTCTTCACTGTGACCATGAACAGTCTGATAACTGGGGACTCTGGTTACTACTGGTGTGGTGTGGAGATCAGCAGAGATTCAGCTGTGGGAACACGGGCTTATCTGTCAGTCACTGAGGGTAAGATGTCTGTACTGCAGACTGTAGCCAATGAGATGCACAGTATGTAACATGTCATTCAGTCAGAAAGGAAGGACATTAACACAAACACAGGAGAAAATGTTTTCATTTATAAGAGGCATCGGATTTTAGTTTTTATCAATATCTTAAATGACACCTGTGAGTGGTAAAAATGTGAAATTAATTGAGTTGCCTCAGTTGGTAAAATATGATATGTAATATGTTAATCAATGTCATTTGGTTTATGAATTTTAAATAAATTCATAAATTTAAATGAACAGCATAAAGATGTAAATAAACTGTAAAAGGACATCAGCTTGGCTCTGTTTTTGGTATTTGATCTATTTATGTAAAATAAATAAATGTAAACCATCAAAGGAGGTTTTTGCAGGCTAATTTTATACTAAATGATCAGTTAATTTATTACACAATTTAACTTTTACAAATATAGTGATAGTAAATACAGCGAATAATCAAAACAAAAGTTAATATTGTGAAGTACTGTAACCTACAGTTATTACTATGTGTATAAAGAGGGAGTGAGAGTTAATCAGATTGGTGATTCTCATACTGTCCCTGCAGGTGTGTCCACACTGAACAGGGTGTCTGTACACAGTGGAGGATCTGTCACCATCCCATGTTTCTATGACAACGTATATCAACAACATGTGAAATACTGGTGCAGAGGGAGTGACTGGAGTTCATGTACTCCCATAGTACACACTAATTCTCCAAAGAAAAGTGGTGAAGTGTCAATCAGAGATGATCCTGACCGGCAAATCTTCACTGTGACCATGAACAATCTAAAAACTTGGAACTCTGGTTACTACTGGTGTGGTGTGGAGATCAGCAGAGGTTCAGCTGTGGGAACACGGGTTAACCTGTCAGTCACTGAGGGTAAGATGTCTGTACTGCAGACTGTAGCCAATGAGATGCACAGTATGTAACATGTGATTTAGCTAGAAAGGAAGGACATTAACACAAACAAAGGAGAATGGTTTTAGCATATAAGAGGGACTGAATTTTAGTTTTCATCAGTACCATGAATGAGACCTCTGAGTAGTAAAAGTGTCAGTTTAAATCAGTTGCTTCAGGAGGTAAAATATGATCA